CTGCTTACCGTGACAGCCAGATTTGAGAGGACCAGACGGCTATTACGCACATTCCTTGATTGGACATGCAGGACTACTGTTGAGGAGGGAATATTTTCCAACCTTATTACGGCAATTGGTTGAGCTGTTGACTCGTTCTTTGTCACATTACTTTCAGAAGAGTTTATTTACACGAAATTGACGTTCGTCAATCTACCTTGACCACAAACCGTGCACAGAATTTTGCCTAGGGGTTGGAGGTTAGGGTTTTTTTGACCGATAGTATAATGACGTACGGAGGTTATCTACGAGGACGTGGAAGGCAGGAGTACCTTTTTCTGGCTCTGTTTGCTTCTTAAGCTAGTAGTAACTCACCCCCGGTCGTAGAACCGGAGTTATGCTTATCTCGCTGTCGCATAATAGTCTTCCGCCCTTAAGCTTCTACATTTGTGCGCGATTCTTATTTGTCAGCAAATCGATGTTCGTTAATTGGTTCCTAGTCTTTCCCGTTGCCTTGCCGTGACAAAAAAATTAGCCTATTCCCAAAGAAGCTGTTTGTATTCTAAACCATCTGGATTTTTATCTCAACTTCTTTTTAAGACTTTTTTCTTGACTCTCGTTAAGGCTCCCATATAACCAGTTTTTCTAACCACATCATACCACTCAATAAATTGTCAGTACTGTTCTACAGTCCTCATCGGACTCCAACGAAACTCAATAATGTATCCTTTGTATAGACTATCTCATCCCTGACATGCCCGTGTCTGTCTTACTCCACGTTTTTTTTTCGTTTTTTAGTCACAGCAGCAGGATCCGAGTGCAAAAATGGATTTATCGGCTCCAAACCAGAATACGGCGGATAACATGCCTCCATTGGAGGGTGCTAGTGTAGGTTCCGCCGTTCGTGGCAGCGAGGACAAATTCTCGCTCGGTGCACAGAACCCCACATCTCCAAATCCACAATTCGAGGAATCTGGCGACCAAAGGTCTGCCCACCAGCGTGACCAGGGTCCTCGCCCTACTTCAGAGCGTCGAACAACAGCGCAGGATGCCGCAGGGCAGACGAAACCATGCAAGGTCAGTTCTTTCATCTGTTGCTTTTTCTTCCCGAACATTTTTTTGGACTGTTCTAACACTTATTTATATTCCTGTGGTTGTGCTAAATGCACTGTGCCTAATCATCCACCATGTACCTAACCAGTAACACGTTCAGCGTCTTGTACAGATGATTTTGCGGTGGACCTGTTGGCGTCCTCGGGTCCTGTCTCTAATGGCACAAAAGTGCCTTGAACTGAGATGTTCAAAGGTGCTTTCTCTTCGTGGGCAGTTAAACCGCCCTTATCTCAATTTTTACCTCCGCACCTGTTCGATTTGGCATTGTGAAGAATATGTTGGCCATCAGAGTGGGTCGTTTGTGAATTTATTTCCAACCACTGGAAGCTTGTTCTGTGGTATGCAAGGCAAGACTTCTAACAACGTCGGTGACGAATTCATACTTTAATGCCATCTATCCTTTTCTAACTTTATTTGGCTTTCGAGATACTTAAATTTTGAACTCCTTGGCTTATTCAGGGGATTTTAAAAAACTTTATCAAGGCCAGAATACTATCGTACACATATCAAGGAATATTTTTTCACGATAGCAAAAATTTTATTTTACTCACTTCAGTTACAATGCACATTTGAGGGCCTATATTAATGTTTCATGGGCTTCGTGATCTATTGAGCAAGATCAATTGATAGCCCTCGGTTTATATTTTTCGGTAACTGTATAGTCCTCCACGGATGCCTCTTATTCTCGTCACTTTCTACGCCCGGGGTTCTGAACTGTTTGCCCTCTGAAGAAGCCGACAGCCTTATGCGACCGACAACTGTTCTTTTGAACGTGTTATCTCAGCCGCCCACCATTTCAGAGAACTTCTACCACCTAGGTTTCGTACCCACACTCACTGCAGTTGGGTTATTGTTTTTTAGTGCTGAAGTGGACCCATTATTAGTTGAGTAACGCTGATGCACGTTGACTTCTTCCACCATGAAGAAATCGGTACATGATAGATAATAATTTTAATCCTGATGATCGTTATCCCTGATCCGTCAGGTGGCCTGTGCCTTCTTCCTCCCAACTTTCATAAAAAATTTGACATGAATGTGTTACTCCCTACTTCATATGTAGTAACATATTTATTTTAAGTTGCATACATATTGTACAGTTTTTCGTGGTATCTTCCAGGGCATTGCCTACCACACTTAAATATACTGAACTATACCGTCCTAAAAGCCTTTTCCCCTGTGCTTACCCCTCTAACAGCCCGACATCCTAGAAGCCTCCTCAACTGATAAGCCAGAGGAAGAGGCTGCTGACGCCGAAAACACAGATGTTGTACAGCACATTGAGGAAGCGGACAGCAACAGCACCATGACGGCTTTTGATGCTGCAACAGACGCGCAAAAAGAAGCAGCCGGTGGCGACGGCCAACAGCCCGAAACGGAACCGTCAGCTAAACCTGGGCTCGACACCGAGTCTGTTCTGCCTCGTCAGCTGCCTGAGGAGGAGTCGACAATCAAGGTAGGCGGCGCGGTGCGGTGCGGTGCACTCTCTTTCGCTGCATCTTTTATGCTCA